GCGCCCACACAATCTGTTTGTGTAGCCGATTGTTATTTTAAAGTAAATGTACTGGATTTACCGTTTGCTTCACATCCAATAAAAAAAAGGCAATCAGCGAGACGGTTTGTGGCTGGCACGTATGAATCTCGCTACGCATTCCAGTCGCTCGAATACTGTGGGATTTTGATTTTCTTCGAGGGCTAGCTACGGGCCGTTTGGATGGATTTTCGATTGGTAGGTACGAGAAGAATCGTGAATCTTTTGACCTTTATACTGCGAAGTTTGAAAGCGGAGCGATGCGATTTTGGGGGGAAAAATCGCTCCGGCGCTGGAACCCTTTCAAAACAAGGATTCCTCCCTTGTCCTTCTATTATATGGAACAGTCAACGGCGGACTCAAATTCATTCAAAATCGCTCAAAAAATCGCTTTTGAGGCAAAAGGACGACTATACACCACAGGCAAGGTCATTCAACGTTTATTTATCATTGATTTATATACATAGTTAGCGATATATCACTATAGGTGAAGCAAACGGTAAATCCAGTACATTTACTATAAAATAACAATCGGCTACACAAACAGATTGTGTGGGCGCCCTGTGGTTGAATTTGATCGTCCTGGTAAACATAGTCCTGAATAGGACTGTTGTTGTTGACAGTGACTGACGTTTCGACAACGTGTGCCATAATACCATCAACTGACGTGATACAAAACACTTTGACTCGGAAGATGATTACCGTAGGTTCTCGAAACGTCAGTCACTGTCAACAACAAAAGTCCTGTTCAGGACTACGTTCACCCGGACGATCAAACTCAACCTACTTATTCACACAGTTAGCGATCATTCCTAACAACCCTTTGCAGAATCTGACAATTTTCTTGCTTTGTAATGTAATAGGAACGCATTCTTAAACTGGAACCTTGCAAAATTTTGTTAGTTTTATGATTTTCTTAACTGTGTTAAAAATATTGATAAATAATGAATTGTTATTATTCATTCAAAATATGTCTTTGTTTCTGATTGGCTAATTCATCCATCGACCAACTTTTCATACCCAGGGGGCGTTGACCAAATTTGGAAGATGTTTGCAATTTTTTTTATTATTGACGTCATTTATGGTCAATAATTGTACTATGGAAAATTACCCACGATTGACGTCACACACGAGAGAGGAACGGCAACTTAGCTGTTTTGGTAGAGTAAAACTCAAGATATTAAAGGAGAAAAAGATCACAGCTATCGGTATACAAAGACCACATAACTGACGTACTAGAAAAAATAATAGGGAGTTTAAGATACGACGACCAAGGACTACGACTACGGTTAAACATACTACTGCGCATCATCAAAACCACGTGACTGTTCATTTTTCCCGCGTAGTCCTGCGGCTACGGTGAGTTGTTGAGCTGTTTCGCGTAGTCGGGACTACGGAGAACATTTTGCTCGTATTTTGCCGTCTCGGTAATTCAAGAATCTCGTCTTTTCGTAGAAACGTTTTCAATTCACCTGCTTTAAGTGAGAGGGAAGCGAAGTATGTAGGTTGTGTCTAATTTCTGCTCGGATTTACGCTTTTAATCCACTGTTGTGACTACATTTTTATCTCGCTAAGCTCATATTTAAATAAGCTTAGCTGTTTATACGCAGAATTCAGATTGACGGCCAAGGAGAAGAGAAATCATGCAGGTAATTTACTTTCTCTTCGCACTTGAAAAGTTTCAATGTTTGTTCGAACTGATTAGTGTGTCTTTCTACTTGTGTAATCTTTGTTTATGCGAGTTTTTGTATCGCATTTGCTGAATGAAAATTATGTAAACATCTTCGAGACAATCGAAACTCGGCATTTCAATACTTCAAATTACATCAGATCAGTAGTCGGAGAAGTCCATCTTCTAAATCTAATAAATGAGCTATCACTATTTCTTTAATATTTGACATAAGTATTCATGGGCGAAAAAAATAAAACCTGTGTAACCAAAACTTTGTTTACCAGTTTCACCCGACGTAATTGCTTCCTTCAAGTATGGAAGAATTTGTTCATTGTTCTAAAGATAAGATCACATGCAAAAATGACTTGCATTTTTGTGAACTGTGATGAAAACAAGAAAATCTTTGCGTGTTGTTTCCCTCTCCGCCTCTTCTCTCGTAGTCTACTGTCTGTAGTGCAATCTTAACGTTCTATATTTGCGCGACTCAACCCAGTGCTACAAACAAAGGACAACGCTCGTCCAGACGTAGTTCGTAGTCCGTAGTCTCCTTATCTTAAACTCCCTAATAATACGAACACGCAAAAATATGACTAGATAGGTGTAAACCGCATTTCGAGGAATAGCAGCAAGAAAAAAAAAAACGGTTCATTTTCTGAAACTGAAAAGGGACACAAACGTTTTAAAGTACTACTTGGAGTAGACAATTAATAGTAAGTCCCGATTATAATAATAACCCGCGATTATCATCATTAGTTACCTCTTGCATATTTTCTGTTTGCGCTTCTTCACTTCTCCCTTTGGCTTGTTGGTTATTCTAGAAAAAATTCAACCGTGATTATTTCCTCCGTTTTGATTTACTTGGTCCGCATGCTGCTGATGCTTTGCTAACCTCGGATTCTTTTTCCTTCCCGTTGATCTTCAGAATCATTAATGTACTATCCAGATTAAGATAACTGAGCAATATTAGTTAACAACACATTTTTTACACGTAAACTCAGTTTTCGAGCGAGCTTTATATCCAACCAAACTTCTTCAAGTTTTTTGGAAAGTTACTTGCTCCAACCGCGCTTAGTATCGGTCGAAGCATTCGGTCAATCAGTATTAATTGTTTCTAGTTTATACCAAAACCAAACAACTTATACATACTTGCTGTGCCGAATATGAACTCTTCTCTCCACCCAATGTTGCTCCGCTGGTACTGCTAAAAAATTATGGAAGAAAGTATTGTTAGCACGAGCTTGTCGCGAGGTTTCTTGACTACATACAGGGGCACCCAACGGATCTGTTCCTCAAAATATCTGTTCTTCAGGCAAATTTTTGCTGGCTGGAAGATTTGGGAAAAATAATATGTCCTTGGAATGAAAGTGTTGCTGGGAATAGCTGTCTAGAATAGCTGCTATGTGCTATTGTCAGAAACCTCTCCCCCCACCTCCCCGCCAACTGAAGGGGTCAATTTTGCCCTGTGACCACACCCAAACTGGCCAATTAAGTCTGGACATACGCCTGCTGGAAAACTTCCCAGTAAGTCAAATTGCAGATTGTAGGTGCACCTTGTTGGCTGGGAACTCTTTCATCAGTTTTACTGGGAGTGAGGAACAGATACATTTTTCCCAGCAATTTCCCAAAATGCTTAAAATGGCTTCAGAAAGCTTTATTCATGCTTTGTTGTCTCAAAATTTCCCGTTGGGTGCCCATGTACATATTCAATAAATTCAAACCTGTATATAATGGCCCTGTATATAGCGGTCACCGGACAGCTTCCCAAACTTTTCAATTGCCTTATATTTTCAGCAAATGTATATAGCGGTAACTTTGTATATAACGGTCACCTTACCATTTTTTAAGGGTGACCGTAGTACACAGGTTTGACTGTAGTACAAACAAGAAATTTGCCGCGCTTTTATTACACTCAGCAGGTAAAATCATACTAGTAACACACAGCTACAACTGAATGTAATTCTCTTTGGACACATCTGACGTCTGCCTTTCCTTTCAGAAGAACGTTCGCTTTCACAAAGACCTTTGTGAATGGGCAAGAAAGAGGAAATCAAGAATAATAATTTTGTGACAGATTACAGAGTGTAGAGACTACAGAGTGTAGAATAATTGTAACAGAAATTTCCATTAATTTTTTACACTTTAAGAATACACGGTAGCTGTTACGGTTCTCGGATACAAAGCTACAAATTTTCCTCCCTAAAGGTGCTATGAACACTCCCATTATTTTTACATGGTATAGTAGTACCATAGCAATTTCAGTATAACCTGCGAAACAGGCGACAAAAACGGAGGGTCGGGTAGCCTATTTCAGAAGTTCTCTGACATAAAAGTACTTTTTAGTTGTAATACAAATGACATTCGTTTTCGCACAAAGGGTTTTGCACTTGGTTCTATTTTAAGTTAACGGTTTCACTCGGAAATGACATATTAATTAATAACACCCTCAAAATTACCACAGCAGCTCTAGCGGCTGTCATAATTAAAAACTGCAGATGAATATACTGCTTGTCAATATATGAAATAATTCATAGGTCAACTAAACGTGCTCTTTCACCAGGGCCCGGTTCCTGAAAGATCGATTAGCGCTAAAACAGGATTGAAATTTTGTTCCATTTTTGTAATTTACCTTCCTATGCATTGCTTAGAGTAACAGTCTTTGTGTTGTCATTATTGTATCTCGGATCAAAGGCTCAACAGCATCTTCTTTAGCTCCATTTGCTTAAAATTTTGCTTAATTTAATCCTGGGTTAAAGTTAACCCAGTGGTGGAGAAATAATGGAGAAAAACTACTGATGATTTCTAGCAAGTCTTCTAGCAAAAAAGGCTAAATGACAGGAAATAAATTATGATTTACCGACAGCTCACCTTTTCCCGTTTTCAGTGTCATCGCCTCGTGGCAAACGCGCCATGAAAACTTTAAAATTAGGTGTAGCGTTCTGGCCCAGGCCGAAAACGACAACACGATTAAAGAGACAGGCTGCTACACAGGTCACGAAACTTCCGTGATAAATTGCGGTTAAAAGTTCACCAGATTTGACGTTTAAGAGAGTGTCTCTGTAAGAGCGGTCCGGTCGATTTTCCTTGAGACACAGATTTAGCTCATTTCTTGTGTGTTGTAAGACATTCATGTACCCATACTAAAACCACAATCCGTTTGATCAGATCTCTTTATTTTTCAGAGTTTTACGGAAATTAAATTTCACTCGACCGAAGGCCTGTCGTGACACTTTTCAAGACGTTAATTTGAGGCAACTTTGCCGGACAATTTACAACAAACTACGGGACTCAGCAAAAAACAAATACCACAGCCATGTATATTAACTCTATCTCATCCATCGAGGCGACTTTCGTGAACATCACGTTTCAATCAAGCAAACAGGAAGACTTGAACGACGCCTTATCGGTTCGCTTAAGTCACACACGCGAAAACCGATCAAATTCAAGGTACATTTTTGAAAAAGTGAGGCGTTCTTAACTGATCCAACTAATATAGCTAGGAAGTAGGTGCCATAGAAAAGGTAACTACAGAAAAAAACTTTGCGGCCCGACCTTTACTAAAACTTTATAAGTCCGTGAACTTACCTCATTTTCGGCAATCTCCAAGTTTTGCCGCCATTTTGAAGTACTTGTCAACATGAAGCGTAGCAGATAAAAATCGAGCAGGTAGATCTAAAACAGCCAGAAATACATACGAAAGCATTTAAATGAACTTCACTTTCAATTCAAGGGGCAAAATCTGAAATTGTTCGTTAAACCTACCATTCCTACATCCCCATGCGACCATTTCTTCCAACAATTCAAACACTACAACTAGTGACCACTAGTGTTCGAATTTCCCTTGTCGATTCCACCGTAAGAAATAACCTGTGCCACCCAAGCTTCGACTCGAATGTGAAGTACGAATCAAACAACATAACTGCGTCATCTTCGAGGCCATATCACGATGGTATTTTGATTTTCTGATCGACAAGAACGGTGATCAGGAGGTGATCGCCATGTTTACCTCATAAAGGTGACCGCTGACCAGCCGCTGAATGAAAACAGTACACCGCGGGGTGGTGTGGGTGGCGGACTTATCGTGATAAGATATTCGAATACACGCTAAAAAAGCTTCAGGACTCTCAGTCTAAACAGTGAAGGCATGCTTCGTGGTACAGACAACTTTTATTTTATTCTCATAACTTTTTCCTTAAAATTAGAACTGGTATTAATTAATAGAGTTATTTAAATTTTTTTTAACCGAGGTACCCATATGACCTTTTTGCTTGTCCTCAGTGGTATAAAATAAGGTGTCTTTTCTTCCAGAACCTTTTATTTATGCGTTATTGCAGTGGAATGAACACTATACTTAGAAGGTTTGTTCTGAATCATTTTGCGGTTCCCAAGAATGTATGCAAAATCATAGCTTTATACAAAGCTGACTCTAAAATATGATTTTCCGTAACAGTAACCAATGTCATTTAGGTAAGGTGTTGATAAAACTAGCAATGTACAATTTTTAGCGTTTTCCACTTATAAGACTGACGTACAATTGTCAAGTGAACTATGTTAGTTTCAACTCATTCCTTGATTTGATGTGACCTTTTATCACTAACCCCCATTCTTTTCATCTGCAATTTTCCTGTACTTTTTTTTTTTTTTCATATGACAACGACAAAGAGTTTTATAAGTAAACCGATTTTTTGGTGTACCACGCTTATTACATTTTATATTCAAATACATGCAAAAGGCCGGCTAAATAAGCTCCTCCCCCTGCTCCTAATTTTTTGGGTTGCCTTCGCCCCATGCCTCTGACGACTCCCTGTCGGCTAAAAGGAAATTTGAAAGACTGCTATGCAGGAAACATTTTCTTTTTCTTCATTTTCATTTTCCCTCTACAATTTTTTTATAAGTATGTAAAGATATAAAAGACATAAAGGTTTTTACAAGTAAACTGTTTTTCTTTTTTGTACCACTCTTAATATATACATATACTTTGTTCTCGCAAAATGGTGGGTAAGAACGGCTGAATATATACCTACTTGGAAATAAAATGATGCTGTTTGGTTTCCCGTTAAAACATTACGTATGAGTGACGCGTGTCCCCTCAAATTGTGACAAAACCACCTCACAAAGTCAAAGCAAAAGAGAAAAAAGTGTAATTTTCATAGCCAACTTACAGTCTCTACATTTTAGACAGCTACAAGGGCCATTGGGTCACTGCTTGATGGTGTAGTTATCCTTCCACTGAGCACTGGAGTTCATGGGTCATTTCCTTTATTTTTGACATTAGAACAGCTTTAAAATCTCTAGATTTAAGCTGGGTTGAAAAATCCTCATCCCTTACCCTTTCAGAAGACGACAGTACCAATGTTATCGAGAGACAGGGTAGTGAACCTTTCCAGTCGAATTTAAGTGAAGGATAGGCACTTCATAAGCCAAAAGGTGGCGCTGTTCGCTTCTAAGAGAAAGTAAAGCAGTATCTCAACTCCAAGTTTGAAATTGGTGAGCAATCTGGAAGGAAAGAGGATCTGCGACAATTCTCGCAAGATATGAGGAAAGCGAAGGGGGAAAACAGGGAGGGCCAGTTTTCCCGGGAAGAGTGGCTGACCAAAGCCCAAATACAAGGATTTTTCTTCCGTTTGTCCTCCTCGAGATGGAGACGGGTAGGTTCGTCTCCGAGCACCGCGGTTGACGATAAATCTGACGAGGAATTAATTGACGAAGAAGAAGTGAATCACATGACCACCGTCGAATCAGTTGTAACAGAAATTGGCTTAACGCATCCGATTGTCTATGACATTTATGACTAGTGTGACTACGTCAAGGAG